CCACCAACTCCTGAAAGAAATATCTGACACAGCTGCTGAATCCTCTACTTCTATGTTCACCAGATAGTTGCTGACTTTTTATGGCTGTCATTTTGTGGCTAAAAACAACAATAAAGTTGTCTGTAGAGCTGGAGGGATCAGCAGAGACAGGCGATAATATGTTGGTTCCTCACTACAAGTGACACCTTTCACAGTACACATTGTTACTAAAACCCACTGTTAATACAAACATATTGAATAGTGCAGCTTTAAAATATAATATCACTGTCCAATTAGTTGGAAAATGTTTTTCTGATATACCAGAAATAAAATATTAAACAATTACTGAGATGTTTAACATTCTCTAGCACAACATTATCATAGTCCATATCTAAATAGTGAATGTGGTTGTGATTTATCAGTTTTAAAAGGAAACATGTAGCACCTTTAAAGTACCACTAGAGACTGTACCACTCTGTAGACTGACATTTCTTACCTCAAAGTCCTCATCAGACAGGTAGACTTCCAGGCGAAGAGGGTCCACGCCCTCAGGGAGCGGCCGGGCCAGAATATCTGCCAGGGGGTACGCAGTCTTACACAGCCTGGCCAACACGTCCTCAACAAGGATAATCTGGTTACACACCTCCGCCTCCTGAGAACACACACGCAAAATATATCATTTTTTCAAGGCAAAAAGCACCCAGAGAGTTGGAGAGGAGATAACAAATTTAATTAGGAAAGTAAATGAGAGATAATGGCTTACACCTGGACTGACCTGAAGAAGTCTCTATTTTTGTACAATAAGTGCATGTGTTTCAGTACAGTGTACACACTAATGGCTACAGGCAGTGTGAGCAGTACTGGTTCATATCAGATGATGTAGCTGGGAGTAATCAGATAAGATGATTCGATCCACACACCCTCTCAGTGATCTCAGCGATGTCCTCTCTGTGCTCCCAGCTGGGGAACATGTTGGTGAATGTGAGTGGCTCCAGACCAGCGTGGATCAGATACGCTTTGGGAGGCTTCTTCTCATTCTTTTCTGTGGAAACAAAACAACAACACGGTTTTAAAGAAGGCCTTTATTTATCTATTCAGTTTTTTAGTACTGTCGTCTGAGATTGTCAACCTAAGCGCAACTGGTTTGGAAAGAAAGAGCTAAATTGTTACTTCAAGCAGTAATAGAGAGTGGTAAAAGTGTGATTCTAGTAAGAAGAATGAAAAGGGAATACCTCTACAGTACTGCAGCACAGTCTCCATGGCACACTTCCTGTCTGAGTCCCAGCGGATTCTGGCTGAGCCGGTGCTCTCGCTGTCCTGAGGCCACCAGCCCTGCCACAGATACACCTCATGGTGGTTGTCCACCAGGAACAGGGCTGAACATCAGAGAAAGAAACAAGACAAGGACATTTTTAGACTTTAAGAGGGAGGACAATTTTGTTAAGTGGTCGCTTATTAGTGTTTTCAGGGTTGGTTTTAGGTTTACAAGTTGAGGATTAATGAAAAACACATGGAAACTCTTCAGCACACACTGAAGTGATCATGGAGTAATACTCCTGATATAGCAATGATCCTTTTTTTCCCCCCATTGGAAACATTTTTTTTGATTTTCAAAGTAGGTTTTTCTTAACTTTTACCTGCCAAACTTAGCTACAGTAAATACAGTTTAAAATTCCTTCAAATGAGGACAACACATAAACTGATTTTAGTTTATTGCTTACAGGTCCTGCCAAAAGTGCCAAAGATATGTTTGAGGTCAAGTTTATTTTTCATCTGTAAAACGTCTGTGTCATACATGTACATATTTTCATAGTTAGTCTTTAATAACCAAATTAAAGGGGTCCTAGTGAAAAATATTTGTTTGGGTGCAATACTCCACTGTGCTTGAACAAAAACAAACCAATCAGAGCAGAGAAAGATATTTGATTGTTGAGTCTCATTCCCAAGTTGGCAAATCCAGATGCTTTTTGTCCCAAAGCTTCAAGCCACCAACCCAAACCATCAACCCGGGAATGAGACTCAACAATCAACTATCTTTCTCGGCTCTGCTTTGTTGTTTTTGTCCACTGGTGGAGTCTTGCAAATTCCATTAGGAGCACTAGGAGGAGTCAGAGGAACCTGATTTTTTTAGATATAGTTTCAGCAAATACGTTTTTTTTAAATAAAAGTTAGCTACTGCAGCTTTAAATGTATAAAAAAAAATCTGACTGAACTTTCCAATTCTCAAAAATCAATGACAGAATTAAAGAAGAAGATGTTTTTCTATGTAAATTATCCTTGAATACATTGAAAAGCACCCTATAAATAACAGTACTGTACGGTCATTATATTTACATGTACAGTGAAACAAATGCACATGTATACCTGGCTGTGAAGCTGCATAAAGGTCCTCCTGCAGGAAAGGCATAGAGTTGACCTTATTGGAGTCTCTGGCAGGGTACAGAAACTCCACAGCTGCAAACTCCCCCGAGCTGCTGCTTAGCTGGTACAGACGAGGTGTGAAGTTAAACCTCCCTGGGTCTGAGGGCCAAAGGACAAACAACACACATAACCAGGGGCACTAGTTAATGACACCATTCACAGCTCTGATTACAGTGAAGTGGCTTCGTGCACTTTGGTTCAACCCACCTTGCAGCATGCAGTCGTACACTTTCCTGTCCCTCCTCCCAAGGGGCTCCCAGAATCCTGCGGGCTCTGCTCCCTCGTCACATTCCCGGATGGTCACCTTGCTGCTGCTGTGGAGGCCGGCTTCCAGAGGACAACTGCACAGAGACAAAGATGTCATACTGACTGATAACGGCTGTATCTCAATACATTTTGTAAGATGATCAAAAGAGGTTTCAGGAACCAAAAAGTTCAGGAATCTGAATACTTTTAGGAGAGAAATAATGAAGTTTCCACTCACTGCTCTTTAATTTTGTTGGCGGCAGTGCGTGCCACCTCCCGTGTGTGTGTCTGAGACTTGCAGCCGTGCCAGAGGTAGATGAGGGCCTGGCTGACGCTCAGCAGCACCATCGACATCCTGGAGCGCAGGCTGCTGCAGTGACAGGCCACCTCCAGCAGGTGGCCCTCCACCTCCACCTCGCCTCGTACGCAGTACAGGCGCCAGTCGTCTGAGGGGGGGGGGACAGGGCCATAGCGAGAGGTGAAGGAGATGCACAATTTAGGGCATTTAGCTGATGAGAGTGGTGTTAACATTAACTGTAGAAAAAGAAACTTTAAGCCTAAAGAACAAAAGCTCAGTTACTTATTAGAAGTGTGGGAAAATATGGAGCTACTGACAGTTTTGTGTGTTGATCCCTCAGGAGTGTTTCTATTCTCAAAATCCAATTCTTCTCTAAGCTACAACACAGTTCTCATATATATATGAGTCACTCATTATGGGCAGATGATGGATTTAAATGACTGCTACAGAAGCAATCATAGCTGTAAATAAAAGTAAGAAGCCACTGTGAGTCTTGTTTATTTGAGACTGATTTTAAAGCAGTGATGTGGGCTTACTCTGCGAGTTCTCCTCCTCCTCTTCTCTCTTTCCAGAGTGGACCACCATCCCTCCTTTGAAGCACTGCAGGAAACATGGAGGCTCCTTACCCTGCTGGACCTGAACCTGGAGGAAGATGAAATCAAACAAGAGTCAAGAGTGAAGCCTACACACAACTCTATGTGCAAAAAATGGACAGACAAAGAAAATCGAACACCCTCTTGCTCACACACGCACTCGCTCTTTCACGTACCTGTGCTCCCCGCTCCTCGTCCAGCTCTACTGTCATCAGCGCTGATGTTCCTTTCTCGCTGACGGTGGAGTTGCGGCCCTGCCAGAAGAAGTAGCAGCACTTCTCCTTCCCGGCCCCCGCTGTCTTCTGCTGCTCCGGGTTCTGTCTCCTCCCAACTGATGGAGACAGATTGTTAGAAAGACACTAATGTCTGGATCTAGTATGTGACTACAGCCCTGGAAGACTACAAAATGCTGCATACAGTATTACAAGAAACATTTGTTACGGTTTTGCATATTTTGAGTCGAGGTCAGAGACCTTTTGAAGCATACATAGAGATAGCACATCACTATTTGGAATATGTGCATCATATAAAT